TATCAGGCAGCAAAATGAGGTGAGAATGAAAATTCTCTTCAGTTTGAGTTAGCCAGACTGCGTCAAACTTTGGCAGTCTCCTGCCAGGTGGTTTATTGACAGCATGGTTATATATAAAATTGCAAGGATCTAAGAAATACGTTAGGGAATGTCACTGCTGTGACAAAATGCCTGGTGTAAGTTAAGGCAGGAAAAACTTCCTGTGGCTCATGGTTTTAGAGGTTTCGTTCTGTGGTTATCTGGCTCTGTTGCTTTTTAACCCAAACATGAGGCAGAAGCCCATGCTTGAGAGTCAATGGTGGAGCCAGGAGAGCAGGAGAATGAGGGAGAGAAAGTCAGGGCTGAGAGGAGGGAGGCAGACAGAGAGACGTAGAGAAAGAGACACTGGAATAGATAGATCTTTCAAAGACTCACTTCCAACTATGTTGCCCTAAAAGCCCATTCAATATGACCTTAGTAATGGATTGACTTATTGAAGTTGTCACTGTTATGATTCACTCACCTCTTAATAAGACCAACCTGAAACATATGAGCCTTTTGGGAGAGACCTTCATATCTAGACTGCAACAGATATAAATGGCCAACAAGCATGCAAAATAAAGCTTGCTAATGATGAGCTAAATGGGGATTAAAAGTATTTACTATCTTACTTGTGTAAAATTTGCTAAAAGTTGTTGATAACCAGTATGTAAGGAAACTGAAGGAATGGATCTCCATCTTACACTGTGGAAAAGAATAAACAATAGTTCATATGGTACGAAGAAATATTGCAATTATTGTTTCAAAATACAAAATTCATGCAGTCTTTCCCTTTGTATCTTTGATCTTAGGGATTATCTGCAGAAGTAGGAACACACAAATCAAGATGAACGTGTGAGATTTTCCATATTGCTTTCTTTTAGTGTAACAAAAATGGAAACAATTCAAATATCTGTATTTGAGGATCGGTTTACAAATGAGAGCAAAGTCATACAATATACTTACCTTACAAATAATAAGGTAAAGAGAATTTTTTAACATGGAGAAATAGCCATAATATGCTGGTTGAAAAGAGACACAAAATAACACTTAAGTTGTAAAAGATCTTAATAGATATTCAGTTTATACACACAAGAGATTTGCACAAAATTTTCCTCAACACAGTTAGGTTTGCTTGACAATGAGATGGTGTTTTGAGAAACACATCCTTGAATGATTTGGTATGAACATCATAGAGTACTTACACAGACCTAATTTTATGGGTCAGTCACTCAGCACGGCCTCTGGATGCCATCAAGAGGCATGGTAAATACAAGATGCAGGAGGTTGTTGCTAACTTAACAAAGCATATTGTTTTAAATTATTTTAGAAAAATAAGTAGAGGGGCATTCTAAAATAATAAAATGCAACACAGCTAGTACATAAAACAGTAGCAAAGACGCCTGTCCTCACATCCTGTGTGTGATTATTCTATACGTTCATATGTTTTTATGATTGAGGTTTGCGATCACCATAAACATGGAAGTAACATCGTGCTTCTATTAAGGCAGATAAAATGATACTAGACCATGGGAAAATTTCAGATCCATTACAGTTGTATGGGACCAGCACATGACATAAGATCTGTTGTTGATAGGATGCTATGTGGGATGGAACACGGTTATGTTTATTATAAAATAACAAAGTGCAAAGAAGCAATGAAAGCCTGAGGAACATCCTTATATTTCTCATCTTGATTCAATCACTGAGATTTTGCTCCATTTACTTTGTCTGTACACACAAGTTAGCACATGCATGCCTCCCTATATACTTGATAGCACAGAATTGCCTGACTCGTGAAATTTCCGCAATCGTTTATTAAGACCCAGAGTCCACCTGACAAGTTAACTAGTGAAGGTCTTATTCCCATTAAGTACAATGTATTTTGTTTTCAGTTACACCATCTAACAAAGTTTCCCCCTTAACTCTACTAGGATCTTCATGCTTGGATGATTGTTTAAAAGATTGTATTTGTAAGATGCTTAAACATAAAATTTATTCACTTAAGTTAAATGGAGGATATCCCTGTTCTAGACTTCATGTTATAAATAGTGATGGTAACAAAATTTTGCAAATGTTTGGAGTGGTTTTGGGTGGTGCGTGCCCTAAGTTTTAAGGAATAGAAGTCTACTGGGGGGAGGGGAAAGTACCTCATCAAAGGGATGAGCTCACCTGTGGAGCAGCTTCCTCCCTCCTTCAGAGTTCAGCTGCTGCTTCTCAACCTCTCCCTCTCATCTAGCTCTCCCTTCTTGTCGAAAGGGCAAGACCATTCTCTGTGTAGATGGTTGTGGCCAGCTGTCTTTGGCAGTCTAATCATTCCTTGAGTATCTGCGGTCTATGTGTGTGAGAAGTTGGACTGAGAACTGGCTTGCAGCAAGTGATGAGGCAGGATTCCCTGCTGTCCTTCCGTGCGTGTGTCCCAAGCCTCCTCTTTCTGCTTCCTCACGCCTTCTTATTTCTTATGTCCTTCATATTCCCTTTCCATGTCTTCCTTTCATCACTGGAAGACATCCTTGAGGTTTCTTCCCATTGAAAACTTCTACTTGTCTGACTCTGCCTAGATTTGACAGTTCAATTGTGAAGTCGGATTTTTATCTTCAGAGTTGTCTACTTGATTCTCCCCTAAACAACCAAGTCCTCTTAATTTTCCCTCACCTCAAGGTGCTCCCGTGGAGTCAAAGTTTTATTTGATTCCCCACAATGGCACTTAGACTGTGACTTAATTATGTTAGATATGTGAGCCTGGATTGAGTCCCGACTTCCTGTGTTCACTCCTGAGCACACCATAATCAATTTTAGTGCTGGGTCTCTGAGATCAGGGTTGGAATGATCAGAAGGTTCATGTTCTGCTAGCTGGACATGGTGTGAGTTTATAATAGACCACAGGGAGGAGGGAACTTTCAGTTTTTGTTTCATTATCACAGGTTATTAAAGATTGGTACAGTTAAAATAGAAATTATCAGCCGGGCAGTGGTGGTGCACACCTTTAATCCTAGAACTCGGGAGGCAGAGGCAGGTGGATCCCCGTGAGTCTGAGGGCAGCCTACAAGAGCTAGTTCCAGGATAGGCTTGATAACTACAGTGAAACCCTGTCTCGAAAAACCAAAAAAAAAATCATTAAGAAAGAATAACACACTTTAAGAGGAAGGATCCAGGGAATGGTGGTTACCACCTATATTTAATTAGGGAGTTAAATAAAAAAATAGAAATTATAATTTTCCTTATTTAATTCATTATATGCTACTATTACACATATGCTATCCTGTAATATATACACTATACACACTACAATATGACACATATGCATATGTAGTATACACGCATATACTTACCTTTCTTAAAAAATTCAGAATTTATGGCAAAGTCCAGGGATTCTTGTCAATCTTATTATACTTTTGCTTCACAAACCATTAAAGGTTAGAATTTAGAGCATGCAAATGTCAGTTGAATTTCTATTCAATCATATCAAGATGAAATCAGCTAAGACATATGAGATCATTGAAAAGGAAACAGAATAATAAGATCAGGGAATGTTTTTAAGCTCTGCTCGGGAGCAAATGAACCATGGACTAAAAGAGTCAAAACTTCAAAAACACTTATGCTGCACTGGACTGAAATATCAAGGTCCAAATCAGGAGCAGAAGGAGAGAGAGCACAAGCAAGGAACTCAGGACCGCGAGGGGGGCACCCATAAACTGAGACAAGGGGGATGTTCTATCGGGAACTCACCAAGGCCAGCTAGCCTGGGTCTGAAAAAGCCTGGGTTAAAACCGGTCTCGCTGAACATAGTGGACAATGAGGACTACTGAGACCTCAAGAACAATGGCAATGGGTTTTTGATCCTACTGAACCTATTGGTTTCGTGGGAGCCTAGGCAGTTTCGTGGATGCTCACCTTACTAGACCTGGATGGAGGTGGGTGGTCCTTGGACTTCCCACAGGTCAGGGAACCCTGATTGCTCTTTGGGCTGACGAGGGAGGGGGACCTGATTGGGGGAGGGGGAGGGAAAGGGGAGGTGGCGGTGGGGAAGAGACAGAAATCTTTAATAAATAAATAAAAAAAAAACCACTTACGCTGCTGGACTCTGTCAACTCTAGAGCAGCAGGTGTGTGCCAAAGCATTTCCACTGAAACAGCAAACCAGAATTATAAGGGAGTAACGAAGATAATGCACAAAGATTCTATAAAGATTACTTTAGATGCCCTGTGGGTTGAAGCTATAGCTTGAAGGGAAGAAACAATCACTTATTCTGAATCAAAATGATGGCTTGACAGCACCTCAACGTCATGTCTGAATTTTAGCTCTGTCAGCCTTCCATGTTAGGCAGAGATTTCATGTAGTTTCCACAGTGACTGTGTCAACACCAGAGACGGATCTGTATCGGCTTCAGCAAAGTGTGCACATGCAGATTAAAGGAAAAAATTCTGCTTTCCATGCTGATAGAGGGTAGGGGAATGGGGATTAGAAATGTTAGGTAGGAGGAACAGAAATAAGAAAGAATCACAGAGACATAGGATAGTACCAGGAGGGAGTTCCAGTGAAGACTGAAATTGCCTACATTTAATTTTCCGTACACTTTTATATCCCAATACAGCAGAAGAAAAAGTCAAAGACTGCTTTAACATGATACAAAGGACAACTAGAATAGTTGCTTGCTTCAATACTTTGAGACAGCAAGCCGTTAATTTATGAGAAAAGAATTCTGTTGTTTAGGCAGTGAACCCACCCTAGACCAAGTATCCTGAAGGCAGGCAGCCACTCCCTTGGGTTAAACCTCTTAATTTAAAAGAAGGAACAGAAGAAGTATGCTCGAATTAGACTCATATTTTTGGACATTCACATTAAGTCAGACCCATGCAGGCTCCCTGATTGTTGGTTCAGTCTGTGAACCCTTATGAACCTTGCTTAGTTGATTCTGTGGATTTTCTTGTGGTGTCCTTGACCCCTCTGGCTCTTACAATCCTTTCTCTCTTCTCTTGCAGGATTCCCTGAGCTCTGCCTGAAATGATGCAGCTCCCATCAGTTACTGGGTGAAGCCTCTCTGGTAACAATTACGTTAGGCTCTGGTCCATGAATATAACATAGTACCATTAAGAATCATTTTATTGGCTTTTCTAAGTTTTTCTTTTTCTCTTTCTTTCTTTCTTTCTTTCTTTCTTTCTTTCTTTCTTTCTTTCTTTCTTTCTTTCTTTCTTTCTTTCTTCTTGCCAATTGTGTTTGGTTCTATGCTGGGTTTCTGAGATATCCTTCTTTGGGTTAAATACATTTTTTAGAAGTGATCAAAGCCTGGTATAGACACACATTTCCTCCAACAAGGCCACACCACTTCAACAAAGCCACCCTTCCTAATAGTGCCATGCCCTCTGAAATTATGGGGGCCTATTACATTCAAACTACCACATTCTACTCCCTGGCCCCCATAAGGTTGTAACAGCATCCTAATGAAAAATGCGTTCAGTTCAATTTCAAAAGTCCCCTGGTCTGTCACAGTCTCAACAATGTTGTAAAGTTTAAAATTCAGTCTCTTCTGAGATTCATACAATCTCTTAAGTGTAATCAACCAAAAAAATAAGTCAAAATCAGAAACAGATCACATACTTCCAATATATAATGGCACAGGATATACATTACTGTTTCAAAATATAGGGAAGGGAACATAGCAAGGAAATACTTGACCAAAGCAAGGCCAAAAACCAACTGGTACACTCCAAATTCTGCATCTCCATGTCTGATGTCAAAGCACTCTTCAGATCTCCAACTGTGCTCAGCTTTGTTGACTGTCATACACTTCTTTCTCTTGGGCTGGTTCTACTCTGTTAACAACGTTCCTTGGCAGGTGCCCCACAACTTTGGCATCTCCAAAATCTTGGAGGTCTCCAAGACAATCCAGGCTTCAACTTCCCAGCTTCATGAAAGGGCCTCTCTAGGCCTCTATCCCGGGACACCCCTGACACATGCCTAGCCTCAGTGGCTTTATTCCATAACTCCTTTCTTCTCTCCTTAACTCTAAATCAGGACCACATGACTGAAACTGCCAAGTTCTACTGCTTGCTGAGGCTGACATATGGTCCCATCATTTAATGACCTCTTCACCAGCTTTCTTTCCTTCACTGCCTAAGACTGGTTATCCTTGAACTTGCTCTGTGGGATGGGCTGGCCTCAACCTCCCAGACTTGCCAGCACTGCCTTCCCCGTGCTGGGATTAAAGGTGTGCACCACCACATCTGGCTCTAGAGTGTTCTTTAGTTCCTTTTCACAAATTGAAAATTTAGCTACATGGGATCTTTCCTTGAGGTCACCACTCCCTTTATTCCATTTCTTAAGCTGTTTATTTCCTTGAACATAGAATTTAGCTCCATTCCACTTTCTGGTAAGCTTTTTCTCCTCAAATATTTTTCCTTGCCTAGCTGACTCCTTTTCATTATAAATCTACATTAGAGGTACTACTAATGACCATATAACAGAGTCTCTACTAGACTGTTTTGAGATTTCTTCTGTCAGTGGAATTAATTCAAACTCTTCACTTTAGGCTTAGGCAGACTGTTTGAACACAGGCAAAAAGCAGCCATGTTTTTCACCAAAATATCACAAGAACAAATCTCTAGGCAACATACTAAAATTCTTCTCCTTTGAAGCCTTTTGAGGGAGCTCCTGACAGTTCAAATAATTTTTAGTACCTCTGCCTTTCATGCGCCTATAAGTATGGTTCATTAAACAGTGTCTAAAGTATTCCACTGCTTCCATAACCCTACATACTAAAGTCCAAATTCTTCTAAACAAAAACATGGCCAGGCCTACCACAGCAATACCCCACTTCTGGTACCAACAGGGTTTCTATTCCTGTGAGAAGATCCCAGGACCACAGTAATTCTTATTAAAAAAAAAAAAAAAACAAACTTTTAATTAGCTTGGCTTGCTTACAGTTTCAGAAATTCAGTTCATTATGATCATGATGGGGAACATGGTGACATACAGGCAGCTGTGGTGCTAGAGCTGAGACCACTGCATCTTGCAGGCAGCCTGAAGTCAACTAGTTGTCACGCCGAGGGAAACTTGAGAAAAAGAGACATTACTGACACACTTCCTCCAAACAAGGCCATACCCGCTCCAACAAAGTCACACCTCCTAATAGTGCTACTCCCTGTGAGATTATGGGGGCCAGTTACATTCAAACTAATATATA